CGCTGAACTGCAGATAACAGTCAGCTGAAGTGGCCTGCAGTACTGCACCCTAACCACTGTGCCACCTCGGCTATGCCCCATTTTATGACCTTTTTTATCTTTCTTTGTTAAGTGAATCACTGCAGTTGTTAAATTACTAACATTACCTTTAAATTAATCTGACTTTCCCATTGACTTTCCTTGTCAGAAGTTACAAAAGATGATCACATGACCCTGGGACACAGCAACCATCATAGTATAGTCCAGTGATGGCAAACCTTTTTTGGCTTGTGTGCCGAAAGTGGGAGGAGCGCAGGGAGGTCGTACGTGGGCGTGCCGCACCAATAATGCAATGCGCGACCCCCAGCACCCATGCATGCATGACAGGCACTCACCCCCATGCTTTTTGCATGCTTTTTTCGCCCTCCCCAGGCTCCAGAGGCTTTATAGGAGCCTGGGGAGGGCTAAAACAGCCTCCCCTGCCTCTAGAAGCTTCAAGAGCTTCCCTGAAGCATCCGGAGTGCAAAAAAACAGCCCTACAGGCAAACCGGAAGTTCGGGAACTCTTAGGGCCAGTTTAAGCTCTCCGGAGCCTTCAAGGGTTTTCCGGAGGCTTTCCTGAAGGCTCCGGAGGACAAAAATCCTCCGGAAGGCCCCTGAAGGCTCCGGAGGGCTTAAATCGGCCCTAAGAGCAAAGTCTGTTCCCGAACCTCCAGTTTGCCCATAGGGCCATTTTTTTTAGCTCCAGAGCTTCAGGAAAGCTCCTGAATCCTCCAAGGGCCTCCGGGTGGGGGGAGGCTGTTTTCGCCCTCCCCAGGCTCCTATAAAGCCTCTGGAGCCTGGGGAGGGCAAAAAAATGGCCTTAAAAAAAGGCTAAAGTCATCTGCGTGCCCTGACAATGGCTCCGTGTGCCACCTGTGGTACGCATGCCATAGGTTCGCCATCCTGGATATAGTCTTTATTGTCATTATACAAAATAAATATAACGAAATTGGTTTTAGCTTCACTGGTGCAAAATTATAGCAGAAAAGAAAAAAGGAAAAGAAAGGAAAAGGAAAAACTAGTCATAAGTTTCCGTGTGTGCATGGAGTGATTGTGGTTGTGGAAACTACCCTATTTCCCCAAAAATAAGCCCTCCCAGAAAATATTGCAACGCAGCAGCAACCATGAGGTGACCACGCTCTCTTCCTCCTGCACCTCAAAAATAACAAGACCTCCCCGAAAATAAGGCCAACAGCTTATTTTGGGCGTTAAAAGAAAATAAGACCCAGTCTTATTTTTGGGGAAACACAGTATTTTAAAAATAGGAATCAGTTACCAAAAATTCAAATTTTGATCATATGATTATGGGGATGCTACAATGGTTGTGTAAAAATTGGTCATGTCACTTTTTGCAGTGTCATTTTAACTTTGAATGGTCACTAAATAAGCTGTTGTAAGTCAAGGATTACATTACAAGGATTATAATGGGACACAGTAAATGAGTAAACCCACATCTTGTTCATCCATGCATTGAGAGGTTTCCTCCCAGATACTGGTCCAAACAGAATGCATCAAAGGTTCTCTTTCCCTTTGCAAACCCTTCACCCCAAGATCCATGCCTCCAAACTTCAGTCACAAATGGAGGGCCAAACCATAACAATACAGGTAGTCCTCGACTTTCAACAATTTGTTTAGTGACTACTTTAAGTTACAACGGTGCTGAAAAAATGATGTATGACAATCTTTCACACTTACGACACTGCAACATCCCCATGGTCACATTATCAAAATTCAGACGCTTGGGAACTGGCTCATATTTGTGACAGTTGCAGTGTCCTGAGGTCATGTGACCACTTTTAGCGACCTTCTGAGCAAAGCAAACTCAGTTGGGAAGCCAGATTCACTTAACAACTGTGTGACTAATTTCACAAATATAGTGATTCACTTAACAACTGTGGCAGGAAAGGTCATAAAATGGGGCAAAACTCACTTAACAAATGTCTCTCTTAGCAATAGAAATTTTGGGCTCCATTGTGGTCATATGTTGACCACAATCTCCTTATCAAGTTTCAAATGACCCAAAGCCTCCTTCCACAATTCCAATGTGTTCTTTGACAACTGGAATAAATCTGTTTCCTGCCTGTTTTTCCCAGCAGCTCTTTGCCAGGGACATTAAGCTCAGCACCTTCCCTGCTCTGTTCACAAAGAGCTCCCTTACCTATGGAGATTCACAGTCATCCAGGTCATGATTGTCCCAAAGTTGTTTTTTCTAAAAGGCAATTGGACTTTCTTTGTTTTTTCTTGATGAGTTTCACTTCTCATACAAGAAACTTTTGTTCTGTCCGAATGGTGAATGTTAAGATTTATATTCTCCACCATCCAGTCAAAACTTCAGAAGCTTCTTGGATGAGAAGCATGATATTTTCAAAGAAACAAGAAAATCAAGTTGAAAAACCACCTTTGGGACACAGCCCCCCTGATTAGTTTGAACCATGTTAACTCCGTGTCTCTGGGAGATCTTCAAGGTTCTTTCCAACCCTATGGTTGTATGGAACCCAGCCGGGGCAATTCGCTCAATGGGTTGCGAGTCCTCCAAAACTGGATTCTTCCGAGAAAAGAGAATTTGCAGCTGAGAGTGTTTTGTGCAAAATCAGCCGGCGTGTGAACGCTGGGGATGAGAAATCCAGGTGTATTCCTGTGGAAGGAGGAAAAAGAGACCCTCGGCTGGCTAGAAGACATCCCTCCCCCCGTGATCCGTTCTCTTGCATACCCCCCCCTGAAAATGGGACCAAAGGGAGGGGATGAAGCGATGAGACCCCCTCTCTGCACCTTCTTACCTGATTTCTTTGATGCTTTCGAGTTTGCACATGATCTCCTGCTCATCAGCCATTCTGCTGCGCTCACAACGCGAGCTCCTCGCGCAAAAGATGTAAAACCCCGTCGGGGAAAAGGGAGGAAGGAGGGAAGGGGGAGATGCCAAGACAATAGACCCCGATGCACCGCCCGTGCCGGGCTCCTGGGGGCGGAGTGCAGCTGCGGAGAGCAAAACCTCTCGGGACTTGCAGTTCCAGCCACTGTAGCCGGCCAGGCTCCCGCGGCCAGTCGGGACTACATGTCCCGCCATGCAAAGCGCGTAGCTTCTGCCAGCTGTCTTCCGGCAACTATTTCTTTTTTTTAAAAAAATTGCATCTGTCCTGTTTCATTTTGCATTTGTGCAGGTGAGGGTGATAGGTCGTTGCAGGAAGGAATTTTTTTTCCCCCCAAACAACGTTAGAGGCGAAGGAAAGAGAGAAAAATTAGCATGCCGACCTCCTCTGCTTTTGCAACTCAAATGAGCCCAGTGTCTCTCAATTCTGGCAATATTAAGAAATATCAACCTTAACTCCCAGAATTCATGAGTGGTTGGAGACTTCTGGGAGTTGAAGTCCAAACATCTTAAAGTTGTCAAGATTCACCCAAAGGCTCTGTTTTCCAAAAGGCAACTGCACTTTCTTGGTTTTTCTTTGAAAACGTTTCACTTCTCATCCAAGAAGCTTTTTCAGTTCATATATACATATATGCTTTTTTATTTTTCCATTTTCATAACATATAATCGCATGTATACGATAGCCAACATCGTATTGTATTATTAAATGTTTACATCAATTCATCTTACCATCAACTCCCAAAAAACAATTATTGGCTCTTCTGCTCTCCATACACCATATTTGTACCTTATGCATCACTTTCTTCTCCCTCTCTCCTTCTCCTCACTACCTCCTTTCTTCCCTCTGTCACCCTTCTCNATATGAATTATGCTTGATGACTGTGGAAGAGATGCACAAAAGTCTTTTGTAACCAACTGATACACTTTCTACAGTATGTAAAGGAGGATTCTTTGAGTTGTGTCTGTTTTGAAAATTATATTATATATATATATAAATAGGGAAGATCTTATTTCATATCCCCACCCCACCCCCGGCTTAGTGTGCTTTAAAACTGCAACCTCCAGAGTTTTCAACCAGCCACAGCACTTTGGCAGGAAACGCTGGAAAATACAGCAAGGTCACCTTGAGAATATAGCTAATCCTCGACTTACAACAGCTCATTTAGTGACCATTTGAAATCACAATGGCACTGAAAAAAGTGACATGACTGTGTTTAACACATACAACTGTTGCAGCATCCCCATGGTCACTTGATGGAGTATTGCAGACTATCTCTGCAATACGCTATGGTGTTCAATCCTGACCAGCTCAAGGTTGACTTAGCCTTGCATCCTTCTGAGGTCACTAAAATAAGAACCCAGATTGTTGCAAACCGGTTAGAGAGGGCTGTAAAACACTATGAAGCAATATGTAAGTCTAAGTGCTATTACTATTGCCATTGATTAGAATTCAGACGCTTGGCAACTGGTTCATATTTATGAATGGCTTAGTTCATAAATATGAACCAGTTGCCAAGCGTCTGAATTCTAATCAATGGCAATAGTAATAGCACTTAGACTTGAGTACACGTGATCCCCTTTTGCGATCTTCTGACAAGCAAAGTCAATGGGGAACCCAGAGACACTTAAACTGTTATTACTTACTTAACCGTTGCAGTGATTCACCTAACAACTGTGGCAAGAAAGGTCATAAAATGGAGCAAAAGTCACATAATAACTGACTTACTTAATGCCAGAAGTTTTGGGCTAAGTTGTAGTTGTAAATTGATGACTATCTGTATAAAAATTGATAGCAATATTTGCTGCAAGACAGGGATTTAGATCCTCAAGCCTTTCCCCCTTTGTCCACTGATGAAACCTCAGCAAGGGCCCCTCTGACTGTATCAGCACCCAGAAAGTTTCAAATGGAATCTCTTCCCTCCCTCCACTTACAACATTGATGTCAGCATGGATGAGTCTCAGTTCCTCCACGTGAGCCATCTTTTCCTGCAGCAAGAGATCCATCTCCTGCTTGTACTCCTTCAGGTGCCTCTCCTCGGATTCCAGAGCCTCAAATTCTGCCTTCAAGCGAGCTTTTATCTTTTCCATCTGCAGCGTTTTATTTCTGGGTGGGGGGGAGGGGAGGGAGAGATGGAGAAGACAGAGAAGCTGGGTGACATTTTCAGGGTCGCCAGAAGGTATTTGATTGTGCCTCACTGCAAAGAGAAGAGTCTGGCAATGAGAGAGAAATGGAAGCCTAGCTTCCAAACGAGGTCTGCAAGGTGTGGTTGTGATGTCAGGATAGTCATTGTGATGATGGACTAAAGCTCTACATATTTGCAACCTACCACGTTGACTGTCTATGGAGTTTCTCAGTCATCCAGGTCATGGTTGGGCCAAAGGTGCTGTTTTCCAAAAGACACCCGGACTTTCTTGGGGTTTTTTGAAGACATTTCGCTTCTCGTCCAAGCAGCTTCTTCTGGCCAAATGGTGGAAAATGGAAGGATCAGAAGCTTCTTGAATGAGAAGCAAAACGTCTTCAAAGAAAACCAAGAAAGTACAGTTGCCTCTTGGAAAACAGCACCTTTGGGACAACCGTGTTCACTGTTTTAGCCACATCCTGTTCAACTCATGATTCCTGGCATTTTGTAGCTTGGATTTTGTGCAAAAGCAGCACAAATGAGGTTTCTCCATTAAGCTACAGTTAAACCATCCATGGTTTAGAGCAGTGATGGCGAACCTATGACATGCGTGTCAGTGCTGACACGCGTAGCCATTTGGGGTGACACGCACAGGATTTCATNATATGCTGACTCTGTAAACCGCTTAGAGAGGGCTGAAAGCCCTATGAAGCGGTATATAAGTCTAACTGCTATTGCTATTGCTATTGCTATCTTGAACTTTCAACTGGGTGGGGAAAACCAGGAAGCTTTCAGATTCAGGTTTTCCCAGATGTGCCAACATGGCTCTCTTCATAAACTGGAACTTTGAGGAGTGCTTTTTCCCGGACTCTGATTTAATTCTGGGTGCTATTTGGAACCCCCGTCACTGGCCTCATGTCATGTAGGGCTTTAAAAAGCCATAACCAGCACCTTCAGGGGGACCCGGAAACAAACTAGCAGTCAGCGGTACAGCTGACAGAGTTCTTTATCATTGCCACAGGTGACAGGTGAAAAGGTGAGGGACAGCTATGCTTTCCTAGTCCCCTGGGGCGAAGACATATCACCTCCAGGTGACCGACCACAAGACTTGGCAGTCACTTGGTTCCTTTTAGATTGCTAATCACCCCGTGAGGATTATTGGAAACGGTCAGGTTTTGTAAGGCCTGTCTTGAGTCACAGATACCTTTTGCGCCAGTTAATCTGCTTTAATGCCCTGAAGTAACGCGGAAGGATGCTTCCTGGGTGGGACCAACCCCCCCCCCACCTCCCCAGATCTTCCGAAAAGGCCCTGAATCCCTGGGGAGCCACACAGTTAACCCCACGTTTTAAATCCCATTAGCCGTGGTTCCTTCCTTAACAACATTTCCAAACATTGATTTTCAAAAATCGAAAGGTCCCTGGCTGTTTGGCTCCTGGTCCCCGGTACTCACTCAAAGATCAAAGGTGATGCTTGTGCCAAAATTGGGATCTACCCCAGAACAGTATAATAGCAACCTCTGGAGATCTCTGTATGCAGGGCACAATTGTTCTGGCAACGTCTAAACAACCCCAGGCAGGACTATCTAAGGAGGTCTTGAAGATTGTTTGAACAATTGGGAATCCACAGGTTTTATTCCCCCCCCCCCCCCGGCGGGTTGGAACGAAGGAAGTCTCACCTCTCGTTTTCCCCGCTCCGAATATTGTAAAAATACACTACCTTCGTTGCGCCAGCACAACCTGTTCTAAAAAAACCCCTCCTTTTGAAGTCACAGAAGGTTGCACCCAGATCTAATCGGGACCAACTAGCTTACCCAAAAAATATATATATATATGTCTAATTAGTGGAGGGAAATCCTTGTGTCAGAATACCTGCATGCAGAAATGAAGAAAGACTGAGAGATTGCAACGTCTCTAACGGGAAACTTCTATTTCAACCCCCAGCAGGAACATGCGGATGGGGACACCGGATGTTACAACCTTGTAGGAAATGGCCTCGTTTGCCGTATTTTTATTGACCATTTAAGGGACCCGGTGGCTAAGACGCTGAGCTTGTCGATCAGAAAGTTCGGTGGTTCGACGCACCTCCTGATACCTTAAGCCAGTGTTTTTCAACCTTTTTTGTGCAAAGGCACACTTTTTTCATGAAAAAANTTAAAATCATCTGGTTTAAACGCAAGCACTGATTTATCGCAGCTGTGCCGTGACGGTTTGAAACGAGGATGTCGCTAGCTAGGAAAGGCAGCTTAGAAACACAGGTGGTCCTCGGCTTTATGACCACAACTGAGACCACAATTTCTGCTTCTAAGCGAGACAGTCGTTAAGGGAGCTTTGCCCCATTTTGACGACTTTTCTCATTATAGCTCAGTAAATCTCTGCCGTTGTTAAGTCACACAATCTTTAAGTGAATCCGGTTTTTCCCATTGACTTTTGTTAGAAGGCCACAAATAGGAGGCCACTGAAACCATCATAAACGCGAGTCAGTTGCCAAGCTCCTGAATTTTGATCACTTGACCATCCTGTGTGAAAAATGGTCACAGCTCACTTTTTCCCCAGCGACGTTGTATCTTCGGTCACTAAATGAACAGTCGTAAGTCAAGGACTACCTGTGCCATCATCGCGGTTTGATGCCATGGCCTTGAGGTGGAGCTCTCGCCTCACAATCAGGGGGCTGTGAGTTCAATCCTAGGGAGAGGCAGATATTTCTCTCGCTGGGCACAATGAGAAATATATCTGCTGAGCAAAACTCCTCAGTGGCAACATGAAAGGCATCCGGCCAGGAAACACTCAGCTCCATTCAGTTGGCCAGATTCCACCACGCAAGGGATTACGGTGTCATTAAAAGATGAATGAGTGATTCACTTAAGAAACGTGGCGAGGAAAGTCCTAAAACGGGGCAAAATCCACTTAACAAATGTCTTGCTTGACAACATATATGTGGGGCTCAGTGTTGGTCGTAACTTGAGGGCTCCCTGTATTGGACTTATTCTATTTAGAAGCTGCCCAGCAGAGTGGTGCAATGGCCTAGAGGTGGAATTCTTGCCTCACAATCAGGAGGCCGTGAGTTCAATCCTAGGTAGAGGCAGATATTTCTCTCGTTCTGGGCACGCTGAGAATATATCTGCTGAACAAAACTCCTCACTGGCGACAGAAAGGCATCCGGCCAGTAAACACTCAGCTCCATTCCTGCAAGGGTCTTTATGGAGTCGTTAAATGATGACGATACAAATACAATACCGAAATGCACCCAGAAGCTCAGATTCTGAAATTTGCTAAGACTTGAACCCAACAGGACAATTATGAATGTTAACTCTTTCCTTCCCCTCTTTTCCTCTCCCCATCAAGTTCCTTTCTCATCATGGAGCTGCAAGCAGAAGCATTTGGTCCCGCCGGGGAAGATTTAAGCCCTGGCACCCTGTGCTACCAATGCCCCACCTGTCACGCTGACGAGGAACGGAGCTGCGCGAATTCCATGCGAGGACGGACAAAGACTCGGAGTTTGTCTGCTTCTCCCGCCCTGGGCAGCACCAAAGAATTCAGGTACCGCATGATAGCGTGATCCAAGGTTATGCAAGCACGGGTGGCTTTGAATGGTGATCTCGAGATAATCGCCTGACCTATGAATAATCTTTTATGATTACATTGGGCCCAGCGCAATTCTCCCTTCATAATTGTCCCCTGTTTAATTGTACCATCCAGTCATTTGAAAACACACCGTCAATGTCTCATCTTGTCCCTTAGGCCTCAGTGCTAAATAAACGCCTACGGGATTGCCGTCTAAACCGCACGGCACTTATCTTAACATTGAAAAGGTTTTCTAATCCTAAGGTTCCTTCCGGAAACTTCTGCTCTGGGCTTTTTAGCCTTCAGAGTTTAAGGTCCAGAGACTCACAGGTTCAAGTCAGTCAGTCAGTCAGTCAGTCAGTCAGTCAGTCAGTCAGTCAGTCTGTCTGTCTGTCTATCTATCTATCTACCTATCTATCATCTATCCATCCATCCATCCATCCATCCAACCATCTATCATCTNGATTTTATTTAGTTTTTTAATAGTGCTAATTATTATAGTTAATACTCTTTATGTATAACCTAAAAGTATTTTCTCATATCCAATTGGGATTTACATATTTCAAAGGGTGTTTGCAAACTTTGCTTGTACAATTAGCTTTGACTTTAAGCTTGCTCTATGTTTGAATGCCATGGTGACAGAGTTCATTAATAATCAGTTTTAAAAAAAGAGTAACAGGGATTAGTGAAAAACTGAGTCATTATTACGATTCTTTTTTCTTGGATTAAAAACAGCCCTTCCGATACAGCTTTGGTCAATTCCCAAAGTTTTTCTTTTTGAAAAACTTTTTGAAAGCTAGTAGGATGTTAGTGCAAAGTATGAATGAACTCTTAGCTTGTTTTAAGTGGTCCTGAGATGGTCTCTTAACGCCTTGATGATACCAATAATCCTTATTTTTCAATCTTAAACCATGTTTCGGTGGGATAGAAAGCCCACAGGGAAAACGTAGTAGGTTCAAAGATGCTATTAACTCTTCAGTGAATGCTGACTGAGGAATTCTGGGAGTGGAAGTCCAGACATCTCAAAATAGCCATGGTTGAAAAACATTTCAGTATACCATAAATACAGGTTGGTGCTTGTATCTGGTGGCTGATGAAGCAGAATATCTGCAGCTCAGGATTGAAATGAGGGTCGGCGGTTTTCTTACAGACGTTTCGTTACCCCACTAGGTAACATCATCAGGGCTATTAGCTGCTAAGGTAACACAACGTCTGCTGGTAAACAACCAAGCTCAGAAAGCACTAAAGAGGCTGTTGAAACAAGAAATTAACTTTGGTCGTCGGCGTTTTGAAATCAAAATATTTCTTTCCGATTTTTCGGCATTCGTGCTTCCTTTTCTCCCCTTGTAACATTTTGTACACCAACTAAATCGAGTGAATCATTCTTACATTACTTGCACCAAAACAGTTGTTTTTGTTGTCA